TTTATTTGAATAATTCATTATTCGTCATAAATTATTCTATTTATTTATTCGAATAATTCATTATTCGTCATAAATTATTCTATTTATTTATTCGAATAATTCATTATTCGTCATAAATTATTCTATTTATTTATTCGAATAATTCATTATTCGTTATAAATTATTCAATTTATTTATTCGAATAATTCTTTATTCGTCATAAATTATTCAATTTATTTATTCGAATAATTCTTTATTCAAACGATTCTTTATTCAAACGATTCTTTATTCTAACAATTCGTAAAATTCTTTACTCGACTAATTCGAGAAAGTAATATGAAAGAAATAAATCGATAAACTGTGAAACAACACTTTACATTTTATCATTTTCATTCAAATCAATTATTTTCCGTACGAATTCCTGTACGAATCAATTCTTACTCGAATGAAATGCGAAAGTCAATGCAGCGGCCGACTCGACGTAAGGCCGCAAAGGGTCCAAGAGATAGCAAAAAGATATTTAAGAAGATTTCTCGATTCTCGAATAGAAGGATGATCACCGATCGCTCCGATCTTGAAGAGCAATATATTTCTGGTTCGCAGGTGACGCTGCTGTCCCTGTGCAGAGGCGGGAACGAATTATCAGAGGAGACCAAGCGTAACTTCGAATCCTGGCTCCAACAGCAACAGTTGGGCCTGGGCCTGAACCCGATCGTGCCTACCTCGAACCACCATCACCACCATCACACGCAGAGTCCCCAGCCTGATGGCGGTGGCAGCATCGGATCGGCAGGCGGTACCATCGGCCCTCCTCATCCTGCGCTCCTTCAGTACTCGCATAAAACGAGGATGAGGACCAGTTTCGACCCCGAGCTGGAGCTGCCGCGTCTCCAGCGTTGGTTCGGCGAGAACCAACATCCGTCGAGGCAACAGATTCAACACTATGTCTCGGAATTGAACTCTCTGGAGTCTCGACGGGGCAGGAAGCCGTTGGACGTCAACAACGTCGTCTACTGGTTTAAAAATGCCAGGGCGGCCCAGAAGAGGGCCGAGAACAGGGGTGTCAACGGGTATAGTCCGCCTGGACTGAGTCCGAGGGGTGCTAGCATCGTCAGTGAGGATTGCTCCGACGAGGAGGAGGATTCTAGACATCAGGTAGAGATCGGTTCTCTCTCTCTCTCTCTTCCAACCGAAGATTCTTTGTTTTGCTCAGTTTTAAGTAGCTTGGATTTTGTCGATGGTTCGTGGTTCTTTTTAATCCGAAACGCAAAACCTTATTTTAGAATTATTAAAATTGCAATGACTATTTAAGATTATTTGGACGAAATTCTAAATATTAAAGTTTGTCCTAAAATTGTTGAAATTCTAGATATTATTTAAGACTATATGGACGGAATTTTAAACATTAAAGTTTGACCTAAAATTGTTGATATATCAAAGACTATTTAAGACTATTTGGACTAAATTCTAAACAGAAGAGATTTATTAAGATTTATTATAACATTTTCTATCGTGATTCTCTCGCACCTAATAAATAATAACAAAATTTTGCTGACCTAGTGGATTGTAATATCTTATAGCGTTTAACAAATAAGTTGTCAACCCTTTGCTATATTACTTCCGGGGTATCAGAGGTTCCTGAGGTCATTCGAAGTAACCTTTTCCTTTACAAAAATTCTCTCTTCCGTAAAGGTTACTTCGAATGACCTCAGGAACCCCTCGTTTCCCGGAAACAACATAATTTTGGGATAGCCTGTAGACACCCATCGCATTCAAGCCTAATTTTCGCGACTACGAACAGCCGGGAAATTTTATTAGAAATTATTATTATTGACGAACGTTGTATGTGTTTCGTTCATTTCAATGTAAACCTGAAAAATACACGCACGTCGTTCATAGTATAGGTTTGCAATTTAACCATCATGCGTCGAGTATGAGTTAGAATCACAGAGGCGTGAGTCACAAATGAAGCTCATAATAAATAATAAATAAATTAATCAAATAAACCTGAAATAGCCTTACAACGCAATCTATGCATGCCAAAATCATAAAAAATACAATTAAAAGAAATTATAAAATTACTATAAATTAACACTGAATCAACACTAACTATTGCTACAACGATAAATAAGCAGCTACTACAAATTAACACCGACCAATGCACGCGTCAATAAACAATAACAACACCTGTTTCTCGCAATAAGAAAATCTGCGTCTTACGTCACTGTTACGTCGACCGCCTCGCATGTTGCGCCCGGTGTAAAAAACATCGCAGTCACGAAAGAAAATGGTACCACAAAAGCATAAGAAAAGTTGCCGAAACTGAGCGATAACCTCGCCTGGAATGCGCGCACTAATTATAAGACTTCTGTTTGCATTCGAATGTTGTAGTCAGCCTCGCCTTCTCCCTGTCCACCCGGAAGTCCACCGGTTGGACCACTGTCACTGACAACGAGACCAGAGGATCAACAACCTCCACCCTCGACGCCATCCTCTGTGAAACAGGAGGATGCCCGGGTGTCCTCCGGTTCTGAGGACGAGGAGGCAAGGCCGACCGGTCCTATGCCGGGATTCTCGCTGGTCCCGAGTCCGATGTTCGGCCACGGAATTATGTATATGTCACCTTATTTGCCGCCACGCGGCCCGGCCGGCTGCTCGACCGGCATGCTCGACGAGAGGAGGAAGAGGAACCGGACATTCATCGATCCCGTGACGGAAGTGCCGAGGCTCGAGGCTTGGTTCACCCACAATACTCATCCCAGTCACGCGGTAAGTTGAACAGCGAACTTTAATTATCGGTACATTCATTTCCCGATCCTCTCTCTCTCTCTCTCTCTCTCTCTCTCTCTCTCTCTCTCTCTCTCTCTCTCTGTATTAATATCAAAGCGCGGCAACGCTCAACCGTTCGCGTTCGTTCCAGCGTTGCTGAATGCTACCATGCTTTTCCAATAGGAGTCACCGGATGTTTTCAATGATTGCGTTTTGTCGCTGTCGTTCGCCGTTCGTTCGTTCGTCTGCGCTACCGTAGTCTGGCGGCGAATTTTAATCGAGGGTTTTGTTTCCTATGGTTGTAGGGTACAGTGCGTCGAAGGCTTAGAAACGAAGCGGATGTTCGCGAAAATGATTCTTAACGTGGGAATCCCGGTGAATAATGCACGCCGGTTACGATGAAACTTTGCACACGCGTTTGATCCCCGGACTGCGATTACTACGAGATCACTTTGACCGAGCGCGTTTAAATCGTCGCTTAATTGTGCAATTTTCGGCGAGTGATTTATATAAATTACTTTTGCACCGGGAACAACGGAAAGGCTAATATTTCTACGCGAAGTATCGTCAAAAATATGTTCCGAAAAATTGATGCATAAAGCTGTCCGAGAGTTGAGCGACTTACCCATGATGGTAGTCGTATTTCGATCGTTTTATCGCAAGGGAGAAATCAACCCTTTTATCGGACCTGGACCTTCTACGTAAGTGCTTATAAATCGGAAACGAAGAATGATATCCAATGATAGTTGAAAATAAAGGTTGCATCGTATTTTTGAGGCCTGTAAATAAAAAATTTCGTAACATTGTTCGGCACAAACGTGATTAAATTCTTGGATGGGACTATGAAACATTTGTGCAAAGTTTCGTAAGAATCGACGTGTACCGGTTCCCGGGTTATTTTGTTAGTGATCGAGTCAATTGCTGTCAGAACAGCCTTAATGCGGTAGCATTTGTTTATAGCAATGCGACAATATTTGTTTATAGTAATGCGGAATCATTTGTGCTTTTCTATAGCAACGTGATACAATTTGTAATATTTTATAGACAGTACAACAATGATCATTTCACTGATATTTTGTATACACATAATTATAGTGGTANCTCTCTCTCTCTCTCTCTCTCTCTCTCTCTCTCTCTCTCTCTCTCTCTCTCTGTATTAATATCAAAGCGCGGCAACGCTCAACCGTTCGCGTTCGTTCCAGCGTTGCTGAATGCTACCATGCTTTTCCAATAGGAGTCACCGGATGTTTTCAATGATTGCGTTTTGTCGCTGTCGTTCGCCGTTCGTTCGTTCGTCTGCGCTACCGTAGTCTGGCGGCGAATTTTAATCGAGGGTTTTGTTTCCTATGGTTGTAGGGTACAGTGCGTCGAAGGCTTAGAAACGAAGCGGATGTTCGCGAAAATGATTCTTAACGTGGGAATCCCGGTGAATAATGCACGCCGGTTACGATGAAACTTTGCACACGCGTTTGATCCCCGGACTGCGATTACTACGAGATCACTTTGACCGAGCGCGTTTAAATCGTCGCTTAATTGTGCAATTTTCGGCGAGTGATTTATATAAATTACTTTTGCACCGGGAACAACGGAAAGGCTAATATTTCTACGCGAAGTATCGTCAAAAATATGTTCCGAAAAATTGATGCATAAAGCTGTCCGAGAGTTGAGCGACTTACCCATGATGGTAGTCGTATTTCGATCGTTTTATCGCAAGGGAGAAATCAACCCTTTTATCGGACCTGGACCTTCTACGTAAGTGCTTATAAATCGGAAACGAAGAATGATATCCAATGATAGTTGAAAATAAAGGTTGCATCGTATTTTTGAGGCCTGTAAATAAAAAATTTCGTAACATTGTTCGGCACAAACGTGATTAAATTCTTGGATGGGACTATGAAACATTTGTGCAAAGTTTCGTAAGAATCGACGTGTACCGGTTCCCGGGTTATTTTGTTAGTGATCGAGTCAATTGCTGTCAGAACAGCCTTAATGCGGTAGCATTTGTTTATAGCAATGCGACAATATTTGTTTATAGTAATGCGGAATCATTTGTGCTTTTCTATAGCAACGTGATACAATTTGTAATATTTTATAGACAGTACAACAATGATCATTTCACTGATATTTTGTATACACATAATTATAGTGGTATGCTAAATAATAATTGAATCAGAGGCATACATTTTCTCAACTAAAATGTGTTTTACTGTAAAAAATCTCTGAAGAAAATCTAATTATAGAAAATTCTTGTAGATAAATTACACTGTGTGCATTTAGAAAAAAAACATTACAAAACAATTGTTTATCGTCATAATCAGTAATTGAGATGAAAAGATCTTTTTTTTTTAAAGAGATTTGTCAGTATGAAGTTGGAAATTTCATTAGAGAACAAATAGTACACAACCATTAATGAATTACTACCAAAGTGTTACTAGAATATGCATATTCAAGAAACTTTTTATCTAAAAAGTGTACTGTTAAACACTTAGTTATTTTTAGTTATTTATTATTTTTGATATGGATATTGATTTATGTAAAGATTGCCAACGAATCGTTAAATCTCCAGTTTCGCTGCTTCCTTTTTCCGTGACAATTTTCTCGCACACTCTGATTGCGACACGTCACAATTTTGATCGCTCATATACCACGCAAATAAAACATTCAATTTGATTAGCCGCAGAGCACGGTTAACCTTTTTCAGAAAATATATTCCGAAGAGAATTACAGCACGGTTTCCACGGCATTCAATGTTTCCAGTTACTTCCGGAATGAACACTCGAAGTTGAAATGCTATAGCCTGCGTAATCATGAAAATCCTTTCTCTATGTGCAATTACTAATCGACATAGTATATATCACTTTATTACCGGTGTCATACTTAATTTTGTTGTTAATTGACTGCGGATCTTCGTGCATTACAATAATTTTCTGCGTTTATTGCAGAAACAGAATATTTTTCGGAACATTTTTTTTCTTCAATCATATTCATTAATTGTTAATAGTGCATTGATACTCTTAAATGATGTTTTGTCAACTAGCTCAGTTATGTCAGTCATAGATGCGTGAAACCTGCAGTCTAATTATTTAGCAACAAATAAGTTCCATTGTAAATAGTGTCCTATTGATAACAAGAATCACTTTGTTAATTAGATAAAAAAAATTGAAATTAACACGTTAAGTGCCGAATATGAATTCCAAAAATTCCCACAATATCAAAGAAATTGTCATAGTAAATATTAGTTTAACTCTTTTGAATAATAAAAATCCCAGTAGCATTCAATTTATTCAATATATTACAATAAAAGTGAACTTCAAAATCTGGTTAAAAATTAGCGTTACTCACATGTGACGGACGCGGCACTCGACGTGTTAATAACAGAATAATAAAAAATAGTAATAAATAATCGAATATTATGAAACGATTAAATATGACGAAACGACGCTTGCTTCAATATCGATATCGTGCAAAATGATTTCTTCGTTGAGATCGCGTATACGCGAGACCGATACGATTGATTTCGATATTTAATAAACCTCGAATCGTCTGTTTAATTTACAGCTAATTCTAAAATACACAGAGGAGCTGAACCGGATGCCGTACCGGATGAAGTTCCCGCGGTTGGAGCCAAAGAACGTGCAATTCTGGTTCAAGAATCGCCGGGCCAAGTGCAAACGCTTGAAGATGGCTCTGTTCGACGGCGAATCGCCGCAGCCCCATCCGTATCACGCAGACTAGCTCAGCCCCTAAAGTTACGTTTAATTAGAACAGAAAAAAAAAATATATGGAGCCATCGGCCTGGAAGGCATATTCGCGCACCATGTAACACGCCAAGAGGAGCAGAGAGGAGAATCTAACCAACCTGTTATATACCTTAATATCGTTGACCTGTAACCACGCGAGCTGGTTGCACTTTTATTGTAATTATTGCATAACGATTAATATAATTATTATGGACCTTGATGAATGTACATATGAGAATAACGTCGAATAAAAACTATACGTCACAATACACTAAACCGATTTTCATTTTCCCTCAAGCAAATACATATTATTAATTATTCAATTACTAAACTGAATTATTCAATTGTTTAACTATTATATTTAATATTTTTTATTTTGTAAAATATATTAGGCGCTTGGAATTAAGATTATGGAATTAATTAACCTATTATTTTTGAATACTACTATATTATTACTAACAAAAATTATTTGATCTGATCTTACTCTTAAAGACATTATATTGCAATCAGGTTCTCTAAATAATTTCATCTAGTCGCAGCAGATAATTAAATATGTCGGTAAATATGTTTTCTTATATTTTTCGTACGGCAAAGGAACTTAATCAAAAAGAAGAAATTGTCTTTGTACTTTATCAAAAATCACCATTATTCAAGACTGAATATTCGCAACAATAATCGAAAACAGATTTCAAATCTCCATTTTACCTTCTCGGCAATCAGTACATTAGACAGAAATTATAATTCATGCCAATTCGTTAAACCATCCAACGTTTACGAAGAGAATTATGTAAAGAGATACACTCGAAACGAAAGTTCTTCGCACGCTAGAAACTCTTAATTAAATTTCGTTTGCATCCGTACTAGAGACTAAACGTGACCAAGCGTCAAATATGAAATTCATAAGCATGTTCGCTGCATAAATGGACGCGGTACCTTCGCCGTATATGTATACGGAAATACGTGATACTGTCTCAAGTCTGGAAATGCAGAAACTGTCGAGACGAAATCTCCCACTGAGATAAGACCATCGCGTTGTTGTCGAGTCAACCCTAACTCAACCGGCACAATGGTCTATGAGTCCTATCGTCAAGAAGCCGAAGGACGTACCTGTTATATCGATACGGTAAGTTATCGATGTTCGCGTTTAAAATTTCTGTTTAACACAATTAAGTATGGATGTGTGACATTTCCTTTGACGATAAGCGTTCACTCGCGAGCGAGTAATTGTGTGGCGTAGTACGACGCGATGGCGCATCAAACGATACCGTTGCGAGACGCGCATTCATGGCTACGTTGTCTATTTTCTTTGTCGTTCGTAAGAAAATCACAGTGGAACCACGAGTCTCGATCATTTAATACACAGAACTTTAACTGAGTTCAGTTTACAATACCAAACAATGGATAAAATTGATTGTTAACGTTAATACTTACGGGCTGTTTTGCATCGTTTGCATAATACTTGCAACATATGTCAAAATTAGTATCGTATTTCAATCAAGGCACTAGAAATTTTACTGTATATTTTACTAAAAAAGTTTTCATCAGTGGTGGAAAATATTATGACTTTGACTATTAAAAATCAGAATTTACGTACACGAAGTTTTATTAATACTTTTAGTCGTTGCACTATTAATGTAAATGATCTTGCCAAAAACGAAAAATAAGAACAGTCTTTAAGTAGCCTTAAAAAAAATGTAATCTTTATATTATAATAAATTATAAAGTTATTTTAAATTAACTTGACTCTGAATTATCTCAACAATTAATTTTCTCGTAATTTTTGCACGACTTCCTAGAATCAGATCTTTGCTTTTAATTGAAATATCTGTGACTACAAGGAACAGCGCCTTACGTCACAATTTCAACACATTCGAGTATATGCATTAATTCAGCTGTAAGATATAGGCTTTACGTATTTATAAAAAAAATTGTGAAAGAAAATACGAAGAATTAGTGATCATTAAACGATAATATTGCAACCGTAGATACGCTACATATTAATTAATCAACGTTACATGCGATTTAATGTTTTAACAATTGGCAGCCTCCAATGTGACTCCCAATTGTTTTGCTATAATGAAAGAAATTTAAAAATTCTCTCTTTCTACGACAATCCTAACGAAATGATTAGATTACTCCTACTGCATAATCCATTAAGAAGTTCTTAATTGTAAACTGCAGACTTGCATAAAATATGAAATTATCGCCGGCAGATAATGAGTCAAGGACTCATTTAATTTAACCTTTTTCAGAATCGAATTGTAAGCCAACTGAATTGATTCAGAACAATGTACAAAGACTGAAAGAAAGAAAACGTTCCCAATTATTGTCGGTAAAATTCGTATCGCTGTATTAGAGGCTTCTAAAATAAGAATACGAAACGGACGTCTGGAAAATACAACATTAGAGGTGGATCATTAAGCCAGAGTCGATTCCCTATCGCATACAGTGACACGATATTAGCGAACCCGGCCAGATCCATCAGTCTTTCGACTCCGTTTCCATCGCGAGCGGTGCACGAAAACGAACAGGGTTGTTCTTGTCATCTATACGATACACGTATAAGATGTTGTCGAGGAGATCGTACCGAATGGCGGGTCGGATTTAATGAGGATAGGCGGATTTGTCCAATTAAAGTGTCTTGCAAAGATCCACGCAGCTCGTCGGCCGTTTATTCGCAAAACATCGAATTTCGGCTTTGCCGCTGTTGCCTTTTCTTATCCGTGAACGCAGGCACAAACCTAAATGGATATCCCTTTCGTTATCGTTATCGAACTTCTATCAAGTCGAGCAAACCATTTGTGGGAGACGTTGGCAAATTAAGCGGAAGCTTTTAAACTCTTGCATTCGTATCGAATAAGCGACGCGTAGACTCTGTGGACTTTATGTATTCATGTGATCAAATTAATTTATTAAAGTGATTAAAGAATTTAGTTTCTGTTTGTTGCAACTGATGCAGACAATCTTTATTTTGCGTAAAAGTCAGCGGTCTAGTGACGCGCTGTATGCGTGATTCACGTAATTCACAAGTGATTCACGTGATTCACGCGTTATTCACGTGATTTACGTGCAATTTACATATCTGGATTGATTTTATAAAACGCTCTTTACACTGAAATAGTAAAAATCAAGGTTTTGTACAACAATCATAAGAATATTGATAAGAATATCAATTCGTTTAATCTTCACACAGCTTCAAATTCGACTGATTCATTTTTGGCATAAATAAATCGCATCTGCTGTTTAATAACTACAGTAACGTGTTCGATATATTTTGTTCTTTGCACACGTTTAAGCTCTTATTTCGTAAGTAAGATCTCTTCTGAATGTTATACTTCGAATAATAGCACAATGGATAATCGAGCTTGCGCAGAAGTTTTTGTTTGACAAATGAACTTTTAAGCAGAAATCCAAAGCCAGCGAATAAAAAGGCTGGTTAAACGGATAAGAAAATTGTGCTCAAAGCAGAGAGTGTATGTGAGAGAGAGAGGGGGGGGAGAGGAGGGGAGAACATAAGAAGTCGGCTAGGGTGGCAGGCCGATGCCTTATGAAAATCTAAAAGTCAGCAGCCTTGAGGATCATCCTTCTATCTGATCTTAATTTGTCAGCCAGCACGGGAACAATTTGGACCACACCCTCGCTAGTAAATCGTTATGAGAAATGCCGGCTTCACCGAGGCTCCGTCCTTTTATCTTCGTTTTTTAACTTTGAAACCGAGCTATATTCTAATAGCTCCACATCCTGGAATTCCTTTTCTTAGCGGAACGGGATTTATTAGCCGGGGGATAAAATGCAAGAAATGTTAAAATAACCGAAGAAGAACATGTAAATGTAAGAACATACATTTATAGTCAGACAGTTGACCTCTCCGTTTCATTTTTGTATACCGTGTTCGTAACAAAAGTGCCGCTTTCGCGGTGCCGCGCTCCTCTATTTGCGAAGAATTCAAATAAATCCAAACTGTCGAAATGGGGCCTAGCTGGGTTTAACGTCACCTGGTACAGAATGGTGATCGATAAAATGGGGGAAATGGATCGGTTCGGTGGTATTGTTCGATAAATCTGGCTGGCCGCAGCAAATTCGGGACTCTAGGACGCGATACGCCCTAAACTCTGGCCTCGGCGCGATTGTGCACGTGGAAAGTAACCGCGAGACGTGGGTACACGTCGTTCCAAAGGAGCATTGTGCACGCTTCGGCATTCAGAGGACGTTCTTATCTGCCTATCCGGAGAGCTGTCAGCAAAGTTCCTGAATAATAACGGGGAACAAGACAGAGAGATCGAGAGAAAGAGAAAACGGGGAGCTACGCTGTTCTCCTATCAGCCGCGGTTAGGATATGCCTAACTATTCTGTTTCCATGCAGCTGCCGGACGTTTCGTCGTAGATAATGTTGTCCAGGATAGTTAGATCGTTGCTAGCGATCGGTAAGAGCGGTAAAAGTGCCCTAATGCAGTGATGCATGGCACGACTGATTCTCCGCATCGAATCTAGAAAAATGATTAATTGGGACACGAACATCTCGTCTATAACATGTATAAATTTTTGATTTCTGATCAGTTTTGTCTTTGGTATGCAACGGCAGACCAATTTTTATTTGTTTGATTTGGTATTGTATACAAACATCGAGACATTTAAAAATTGCTAGAATTGTTAAGGCATGAACAATTACTTAATTCCTTGCTTTTTTCATTTTCTTGAGCCCATCGACTTCGTTTTCATGAATTGTCTTCTGCTGAACAAATAAATCCTACGTTCTTTCACTTGAATAGATTTTTTAAAAATCACGTTTTTTTTCTTCTAATTATATCTTTCTGTGATGCAGAATTACAATTGATTTCCCCAAGGGTTTATGATTACAAACTGATTGAATTACATTGTGTAATTCATAATCCAAATCTCCATTCAATTAAGTTACAATGTAATTCGTAATTGCAATTGGAGTATAGTTACAAAATCCTAAGTAATTAAATTACATTAATTACGAATTGTGATGTAATTGAATTACGATTACAAATTACGATTACGGATTACGATGCGATTGAATTAAAATTACGAATTCGAAAAAAACAACAAATCAATAGGAAATAAGCGATGAAAGAGCGCAGAAGTGACAACAAAATGCGTACACGAAAGGAAAACATAAAAATGTATCTCGCTTTTCTTCAAAGTTCTGGGCTGTAATTTGCATAACTCTATTTCAATCGCATCGCGTTATGAATTACACTCGTGATTAATATAATTAGCGATCGAATTAGCTGAAAGGTTTGAATTACGTA